CAAAAAAGTACTCCAGAGTGTTGTTCAGCATGGGGGTGAGTAGAAAATGAAGGCTAATCATGTTTTGGGTGTACTATTCCTTTAATGTTCTCTAACAATCCTGAAGTCTGTTCTAGTTTGCTGACTGGATTTTTTTAGGGGTATCACAGTAAAGGGGGATTAAAACAACTCATTGTTAGTTTTATTTGTTGAAGAAAATTATTTCCACTACATAATTCTAAACAGCTGTATGTTGGCGTTTCACATTCAATCCTAATGAAATATATTACAGTTGTCATTAATGCATTTTACAGCAAAGAAACGTTTCTTTGATTCTTCCTGCTGTGTTCATCACGGAGCTGTTTCTCCTTCAGCTGAGTCAGCAGAGAGCGTAAACCGTGATATCCTGTCAGACCGTCGTCGCTTTCCAAGCAGGGGTTCGGCCCTGAGGGTCGATAAGTCGACATGCTCCTAAACAAAGCCACATGTCTTCAGGTTGAGGTCAACCCATCAGGCCTGGTAGGCTGGATCGCTTACAGCACCAGGAGGGAAAACGGCAGCATGGAGCGTGCAGGAAGGTTTTTACAGGAAAGCTGAGACAACAAACCTCTGACAGCAAGCTCGCCGTCTCCAACCATTATGAACCCCTCTCCCTACAAGGCAGTAAATATGTTTTTATGGCTCTCAGCAGGAGCGCTTTCTGGGCTTTTTAATACGTTTTTTTGGCTGCTGAAGTGGATTTGAGAGCAGCTTTAAGTAAATATATGTAGTTTCTGAGCACTCTGTAAAACCTGAGTTTGTGTTGGATTTGAAATTAAACATAAGTAGAAAACTGTTTAGCTTTTAGTGTAAACTATACTCTATTTCTACATTCTTTACATTTTTTTCCTACATAAGTCAAAATAAAGATCTTAGGCACTTTAAACAAATCAAAGCCTGGGGTTTTATTAATGTAGGAACCTAAAACAATCAAGAGTTTATTCTTGAAGAAATCTCTAACGACGAAAATGTTTTCATGAAATAGAACTAAAACAAACTTTCTTTAAATAGAGCTGAATTTATGTCAGTTTCCTGATTATGATGGAGACATTTTTACTCTTTGTCTTATCAAATATTTAAATTTTCTGAAAAGCAGCCTCCTGATAAGATTAACTAATCCTACTATTTAAATCTGAAAATCTCTCTTTTCCATTTTTAACCAAAATACTGACATTTTGTCCTCCAAAGTGATCAAGTAGAAGACATCTGGACTCCGTTTCTTTGTGCTTAAAGACCATCCAAAAGGCTTCTTCAGCTCTGAACATAGCTGGAGGTAATAGATGCTTGTAATTTATCTATCAGAACAATCACTCACACCAACATGGCCGTTTTGGCAACTAATGGAGCCGTAAGGATGAATGAGGAACCACATCTACCTTCTATCACCTTAAAGGAAAAAATGTCAGCAAAGAATAATCAATGGATCATTATTTATACCTAAAACTAATACGTTTGCAGTGATTTAATTAATTTAGTTTTAATCAGTAAAAAAATAAAAACAATACTTTTCGTCACAAGCACCGAGTTTGGGAGCGGCCATTTTTGCCCAAATATAGTAACCTCTAACCTGACTCCGCCAGATGGATTTGCTCTGCATATCCATCTGGAAA